GATCCAGGAGGACCCAGATTTCCAGGGGTACCCGGGTCTCCAGGGGGAGATCCGGGTATCTGAGAGGATCCAGGGATCCAGAAGTACCCAGGTGTCCGGGGTGGGATCCGGGTGACCCCAGGTGACCCCGGTTTGGTGACCCCTGAGGGACCCATCCGTGTTTTCCCGCAGCGTCCTGATCCACCTGGGATACGGGCGGGGGGAGCTCCTGGGCCGCTCCTGGTACCGCCTCCTGCACCCCGAGGACCTCGGCCACGTCGCCCGCCAGCACCTGCGCCTCGGTGGGTGTCCCCTCGCTGTCCCCAGGGTCCCCTGCCACCTCCCTGTGTCCCCTCACCTGTCCCCAAGTTCCCCTGGGGCCTCCCCGTGTCCCCTCGCTGTCCCCAGGGTCCCCTGGCACCTCCCTGTCCCCACCCTGCCTATCCCTTAGGATCTCTGGGTCTCTCTGTCCCCTGACTCCCCACGACCCCAAGGGTGTCCCCCATCCCTCTGCGTGTCCCCTGCTGTCCCTCTGCCACCCATGATGTCCTCGGTGTCCCACACGTCCCCTGGGGTCACCGTGTCCCCCCCTGGGAGTCCCCAGCGTGTCCTTCACGCCCCTGTTGATGCCCCATCCCCATTGATGTCCCCGTGTCCCCAATCCCCCAACTGACCCCACTGATGTCCCCATTGATGTCCCCATGGCCGCAACCCCTCCAATCAACCCCAGGGATGTCCCAAATGTCCCCCAGCCCCAATTCCTCCCCAGTCCCCCCTCCCTCTTGACATCCCTGTGTCCCCATTCTCCCCCCATCCTCGTGTCCCTGCTGGTGTCCCCCTGTCCCCGCTGGTGTCCCCCTGTCCCTGCTGGTGTCCCCCTGTCCCCGCTGGTGTCCTCGTGTCCCCTCTGACATCCCGGTGTCCCCACAGCGGGCGCGGGGCCGGAGGCGCGGGGGGAGCTGGTGACGCGGCTGCAGCGCAAGGACGGGCTGGGCTGGACGTGGGTCTACGCCCGCCTGCGCCCCGAGGGCCCGGCCCTGCTCGCCCACAACTTCGTCATCAGGTCAGTGCTGGACCCCTGGTGCCTGAGGGGGGGGTCACAGCCCCCCTTGGGGCGGACCCCACTGTCCGGGTGGCCCCAGACCCCCCCGTGACCCCCCGTCTGTCCCCACAGCGAGGCCGAGGCCTGGTGTCTGCGGCAGCAACTGGCGGCCGAGGCCCCCCCGGGACCCCCCGAGCCCTTCGGCCCCGGACTCGACTTCCCCGGTGCTGACCTCGGAGCGGGCGGGGACCTCGGAACCGGGCCCGGTGTCGGATCCGGCGTCGACCTGAGCGTCGGATCCGGGCTCGGAGACGACGTCGGAGCGAACGTCGGCGTCGGCGTCAGCCTTGGCCTCGGGGTCAGCGTCGGGTGTGGCCTCGGAGCCGACGTCGGACACGGCCTCGGAGCTGCTCTCGGGGCTGACGTGGACCCCGGGCTTGGAGCTGGTGTTGGGCCCGGTCTTGGAGCCAACATGGGACCCGGGCTCGGAGCCGCCATCGGGCACGGCCTCGGAGGCAACGCCGGGGCCAACGTTGACCCTGGGCTCGGGGCCGGTGTCGGACCGACCGTTGGACACGGTCTTGGAGACGCCGTCGGACACAGTCTCAGCTCTGACGTCAGCCTTGGTGTGGGAACCGGCATCAGAGTGGACGTCGGCCTCGGGGTTGCTGCCAGCACCGATGTTGGTCCCACCCTCGGGGCCGATATTGGAGCCGCCCTCGGAGCCGGTGCTGGAGATGACGTCGGAACCGCGCTCCAAGCCACCAGCGCGGCAGAGGTCGGGCCCGGCATCGGAGCCGGCGTCGCGCTCAGCGTCGGGGCCAACATCGGGCCCGGCCTCGGGGGCGGCGTCAGAGCCAGCGTCGGGCTCGGCATCGGGGCCGTCGGCCCCACTCTGCCCTCTGATGTCAGCGCCGGCGTCGGACTCACCGTCGGTGCCGGCGCCGGGGCCGGAGTCGGCGCCGGGGTTGGACTCGGCCTTGGAGCTGCTCTTGGAGCCAACGTTGCCTCCACTCTTCCATCTGGTGTTGGGCCTGGCGTTGGACTTGCCGTCGGAGCTGCCGTTGGAGCCAATGTTGGCTCTGGTCTTGGATCTGGTGTTGGACTTGCCGTCGGAGCCGGTGTTGGATCCAGTCTTGGATCTGGTGTTGGACTTGCTGTCGGAGCTGGCGTTGGTTCCAATCTTGGATCCAGTGTTGGACTTGCTGTTGGAGCCGGTGTTGGCTCCGGTCTTGGATCTGGTGTTGGACTTGCCGTTGGAGCCGGTGTTGGCTCCGGTCTTGGATCCGGAGTTGGACTTGCCGTCGGAGCCATTGGTGCTGCTCTTGGATCCGATCTGGACATTGGACTTGGCGTCGGAGCCACCGTTGGTGCTACAATCACGTCTGATGTCGGCCCCGCCATCGGGCTCGGCCTCGGAGCCAACGTGGGTTCCACCATCGGCTCCGCCCCCACATCGGACGTCGGTGCCGGCGTCGGACTCTCCGCTGGAGCCGCCGGCGGCTCCGGGCTCGGATCTACCCTTGGATTTGCCGTCGGAGCCGCGCTCGGAGCCAACGTTTGCCCCGGGCTCGGGCCCGACGTTGGTGCCGGTGTCGACTCCGCTCTTGGCGACGCCGGCATCGGACTCGGAGCCAATGTTGGATCCGCCGTCGGACTCGGCATCGGAGCCAACGTCGGGTCCGGCGTCGGATCCACCCTCAGACTCGGTGCCGGAGCCGCCGTCGGAGCCTCCTCCGCCCTCGGTTCCGCCCTCGCCCTCGGCACCGGCGTCGACCCGACCCTCGGACCCGGCCTCGGCCTCGGCGCCGACGTCGGCACCGCCCTGGGCACCGGCCTCGCCCTCGGCGCCAACCTGGGCCCCGGCGTCCGCCTGGCGCCGGGCCTGGGGGTCCCCGAGACCCCCGGGGGGGCCGCCGAGACCTGGACCCCCCCTTACACTCCCCGGCAGGCCCCGCCCTTCGCCTTCGGGCCCCCGGAGCCCCCCGAGGCCGCGCCCGAGAAGCTGCCGCCGAGCCCCGAGAGCCCCGGGGGTGGCGGCGGAGGGTCGGGGGTTGTCCCGGGGGGCCCCCCCGGCTCCCTCCTCCTCACCCCCGAGACGTCGCCGCCGCCCCCCCCGCCCGCGCCCCCCGGCCCGGCCCTGCGCCGGCTGCTCCAGGGCTTGGCCGCCGCCGCCGCCGTCAGTCGGGGGGGTCCCCGGCGCTCGGGGGGCACCCCCAGCCCCCGCCCGCCCCCCCCGCCCCGGTCGCCCCGCGACCCCTTCGCTGAGTTGTATCAACTCCCCCAGAGCCGCCTCCAGGACGCCTTCCGCCAAGGTAGGGACCCCCAAAACCTGGGGAGGGGTCCTCGTGCCCCTTGGGGGGGTGGGAGGGCCCCAATGTCACCGGTGGGGGTTGGGGGGGTCACGGATGGTTGGGGGTGGGCGGGGGACGGTCCTGGACCTCCTGGGCCCCCTTTTTGGGGTGGGGGGTGTCACACTCCTGGACATCGGGGTGCCTTGGGGCATTTGGGGGGATCGCGACCTCAGCTGTGGGGTCCCTCGGGGGGTTTGGGGTCACGAGCTCAGTTCTGGTGTCCCTTGGAAGGCTTGGGGGCTCACAGCCTGCTTTGGGGGTTCTTGGGGGGTTTTTGGGGTCACAACCTGGTTTGGGGGTTCTTGGGGGGTTTTGTGGGGTCACGGCCAAGATTTCGGGGTCCATGGTGGGTTTGTGGGGCCACAAACTGGTTTTGGGGTCCGTGGTGGGTTTGTGGGGTCTCCCCCCCTGTTTTGGGGTCTGTGGCGGGTTTGTGGGTCACAACTGGGTTTTGGGGTCTGTGGCAGGTTTGTGGGGCCACAACTGGGTTTTGGGGTCCGTGGCGGGTTTATGGGGTCTCCCGCCCTGTTTTGGGGTCGCTGACGTGTCCCCATGTCCCCCCCGCAGCCGGAAGCCAGCGCGCCCCGTCGTTCTGAACTAAGTCTGTGACGCGACTTGCCCCCAGTATGGCATATTGTCATTGTCACCCCGGCCCGGAGCCGCCGTCCCCCCCGGCCCCCGGCCGTGCCCCCTCCCCCCGCCGCCCCCCCCCGGGGCCTTTCGTGCTAATTTAACTCGTAACGAGTCTCTAAGGTAATTGGGGGGGGGCTGGTGGCCCCCCCCTCCCCGAAACCCGGACGCCTGGGGCCCGTCCCTCGTGTCCCCCGTCCCCGCCCCCCACTCCGGGACCCGTCCCCAAATTTTGGGTCAGTGGGGTGGCTTGGACCCACCTGTAGGAGCCTGTGGCCCCCCCTTCCCCCCTCCCCCCCCGAGTGTCCCTGTCCCTCGTCACCCACCTCGTCCCTGTCACCCGCCCTGTCCTCGTCCCCCACCTCGGGGTCTGCGTTTTTGGCAGAGTCCCCCCCAAAAAGTCTGTATCCCCCCCCCCCATGGGTGTTGTCCCCCCATGTCCCCAACCCAAGGGACCGAGGCACGATGTGGCTTGATGTCCCCAATGTCCCCAACGTCCCCAATGACCCCGGGCTGAGTGATGTCCCGATGTCCCCAACGTCCCCAACTCACGGGGCTGAGGCACAATGTGGCTCGATGTCCCCGGTGTCCCCAACCCAGGGAGTGGGGACAGGCCATGACCTGATGTCCCCAATGTCCCCAGTCTGGCGCCAGTTACCCCAAAGCCATTGGGCTGGGACAGGTCATGGCTCGATGTCCCCGATGTCCCCAACACACCCCAAGGGACTGTGAGACATCATGGCCCGATGTCCCCAATATCCCCAACCTGAGGGACTGAGACACATCGTGGCTCAGTGTCCCCAATGTCCCCGACACCCCCAGTGCCCCCGACACCCCCAGTGTCCCCAAAGCCCCTCGATGTCCCCGATGTCCCCCACGTCCCCCCCCGCCAAGACGTCGAGATCCGTCGCGGCGCGACGACACCGAGCCCGAGGGACGGAGACTCGTCACCGCTCGACGTCCCCGAGGTCCCCGAGGGCCACGGGCACCCCGTCACCGCTCGATGTCCCCGGCGTGTCCCCGAAGGACGAGGACACCACCTGAACGGACTGAGACCCGTCCCGGCCCGAGGGACAGAGACAACCTGTGACTGATGTCCCCAATGTCCCCAAGGGACGAGGGACCCGCTCATCACCCCGGACTGAGAGATTGAGACACGGAGTGGGCCGATGGCCCCGATGCCTCCGAGGATGTCCCCAGTGTCCCCGATGTCCCCAAGGATGTCCCCAATGTCCCCGATGTCCCTGAGGATGTCCCCGATGTCCCCAACCCAGCGGACTGAGACCCATCGTGGCCCAACGTCCCCAATGTCCCCGATGTCCCCAACCCAGCGGACTGAGACCCGTCGTGACCCAACGTCCCTGATGTCACCAATGTCCCCGAAGGATACGGGACATTGTCATCGCCCCTGGTCGAAGGACTGAGACCCACCACGGCCTGATGTCCCCAACGCCCCCGATGTCCCCGATGTCTCAACGTCGCCGATGTCCCCGAAGGATGCGGGACATCGTCACCACCCGGACTCAAGGGACCGAGAGCCACCACGGCCCGATGTCCCCCAGCGCCCCCCCGATGTCACCGACGTCCCCAAAGGATGTGGGGCATCGTCACCACCTGGACTCGAGGCACTGAGCCCCATCACGGCCCAGTGTCCCCAACGTCCCCACCGCGAGGGACTGGCCCCCCCTTTGTCCCCAAGGTCCCCTGTGACCCCACTCGAGGGACAGACACGTGGTGGCCCCACAGCCCCCGTGTCCCCGATGTCCCCGATGTCCCCTGGAGGCCCCGTGGCCCCGACGCCCACCCCGGCAATAAAGTGGCCTCCGTGGTCCCTGTGCCCATGGCCCCTTCTTTCCAGGGAATTTGGGGGGACAGAGGGGTTTGGGGGGGGACCCAGGAGTTCGGGGGGGGTGACCGGGGGGGTTTGGGGGGACACGGGAATCTGGAGAGACAGAGGGATTTTGGGGGGACCCAGGGACTCGGAGTGTCCCCAAGAGTTTGGGGTGATCCAGGGGTTTGGAAGGGATCCAAGAATCTGGGGGGGGCACAGAGGGGTTTGGGGGGATCGAAAGGTTTGGGGGGACCCAGGAGTTTGGGAAGGGCACCCAGGAACTGGGGGGACCAAGAGGTTTGAGGAGCGCCCAGGAATTTGGGGGTACTCAAGAATTTGGGGGATCCCAGGGGTTTGGGGAACACAGGAATTTGAGGGGGTCTTGGGGTTTGGGAGTCCCAGAGGTTTAAGGAGACCCAGGAATTTGGGGAGACCCAGGATTTGGGAAGTCCCAGGGGCTCGGAGAGGGCGGGTATCTCAGGAGTCCGGGGGGAACCAGGAATTTCGGGGCCGCGGGGGTGAGAGGAGAAGCCCCAGAAATTTGGGGATTCCAGGATTTCATGGGGGATCCAGGAATTTTGGGGTCCCAGGGGTCTGGGAGGACCCAGGAATTTGGGGGTATATCCAGGAATTTGAAGGGTCCCAGGGGCTCGGGGGATGCCCAGAAATTTGGGGGATCTCAGGATTTGGGGGGGTCCCAGGGGGTCGCGGGACTCTCGGGGGTCCGAGAGCGGGACTGGGGAACCGGACAGGCCACGCCCCCGAGCGCGAAAACCCCGCCCCCACGGACCAAACCACGCCTCCGAGTGCCCAAACCACGCCCCAATTGATCAAACCACGCCCCCTAACGGGCTAAACCCGCCCCTGCAAAACCCCGCCCCCGCCCAGCAAACCCCGCCCCAGCACCGCCCCCGAGCGCTGTGGCCACGCCCCCGCCCCTCCCCGCGCACGCGCGGTGAGTCCCGGCGGCGACGCGGTGGGTGAGTCCCGGACTGGTCCCAGTTGAGCCCCAAACTGAGGCCGGTGACCCCCGGACTGGGGCCGGATCCTCCTCCCCGCCCCCCAAACTGGTCCCAGTGACCCCCCCGGACTGGTCCCACTCACCCCTCCCAGTCGCGGTCCTGCACCCACAGAGCTCCCTCCCAGCACCCCCGGACTGGTCCCAGTAAGCCCTTACTGGTCCCAGTGGTCCCGCGGTGCTTCCAGCATGTCCTGCTGGTCCCGGCTCAGCGCTGCTCCCAGCGACCCCCAGCACCCGCCCAGTAACCCCCCAGCACCCTCCCAGTACACACCTCTGTACCCTCCCAGTGACCCCCAGTAGCCCCC